GAGAGAAGGTCAGACAGACTATCCAGACATGCTGCCAATGAAGAGACAGATTACAGCTCTGTGGGCCCGACTTCTCATCCCACAGAAAGACGATCATATTAGACCTGGAAGATTTAAAAATGGCTCAATGTACTTCCCTTACATCTCTGAGTTGAACGAAAGAGCTTTGAAGGATCTCCAGGTGAATTAGAACCTGGCTGGATTCCTTAGCTACCTCGCAGTAATGTGCATAAAAGCTCAAAAATATAAAGAGAACTGGATTTAGGGACAGGAAGGTCAAAATCATGGTATTCAAATCTAAACTGCCGACTTCAATACTGTTTTAATTTGCACCGTCACAAGAAAGGATCACAATGAGTAGTGTTTGACTATGATATTCCGCTCCTTTAAACAAACATCATGACTCAACTAATCATAACCTCTGAGGACAGTTTTACTGAACCGCATGAACCAGCATGTCCCATGCACAGCTCTGTCATCCATAAAAAAAGCATATTTACAAAAAACACTTGGCCTAACTTTGTGCCAACCTTTATGAACTCACACAAGCTTAAAGACTGAAATACTAAACGGTAACATTCAGATCTTGATGCAAATGAGAAACAAAAAAAAAAAAAAGGGAAAAGGTGGGTTATGACTTTGCAGTGAGTAAAAATGCTTCACATCCTTTAATATACTGTAATTTTAACCCAAGTCTTATGTGAAAGCATGTTATTGAAGAGAGTTTGCCAAGAGAGCACACTGCAAATGAATAAAGGATACAAAGAGGGGCAGTGGGAAGGATCTAAGGCCCCAGGGCTCCTCCTGCCTGATGCTTTTTACACACAATCTCATGCACGCAGGCACGCAAACACCCATAGTGGTACTCTAAAGCTTTATAGCCTGTGCCGTCTGTCACTGTGCCACACATGCATAAAGCCATCCTTCCTTTCCAGTTATCAGTCCCTCTATCTCTTTTGCTCTGCTGTCCTTGTTGCACACGTGTCACCAGAGTAGAGAGACAGATGGTACACTGCTGACCTCAGGGACAACCTAATTCTGTGCAGGGTCTTTATAAAACAGAGTTGGTAGAAATATGAGGGTTTTAAAAAAAATATTAAATAGAGTCAAGGGTAAAAATCATTATCAAAATAACAGAGCAACCTCACATAGATGTGAAATGCCAGATGAGGAATACTGAGGATAAATTGATTAAAGATGAAAAACAAAACGTTCTATTTTTTTCTACTGAATTCCCCACTGATCACTAAGAGCGACCTCATGTGATGCTGAGTCATGGAACCAATCAAAGGTTCAGAGGACAACAGGAAGTCAGGGTTCAGGCCACTGACCCCACAAATTCCTGTTTTTCAGCTACTGCTTTATTCTTTGGCTCTCTCCCTCCACCCATCTTACCATTTTCTTTCCTGGCTCTTTTCCTCCGTCACCCCCATCTCTCCCTCTGTCATCCTGTTCCCCTCTATCTTCCAGCCATTTCACTGAGCCAACTCTGCAGTACCCATCTTCATCTGGTTGTCTCCTCCCCTCCATCTGTTAACAGCACTTATGTTTTACCCCTTTCCCCCTGTTTTGCTATTCCAGCTAGCTTCTTTTTCCTTTATAACTGCAGCTTTATTCTTCATAAATAGCAGCATTCTCCGTCACTTAAAATGCTTCAAGCCAGAGATAGTAACCACATTTGCCCTTGGGTCAGATTAAATATTAAGATGTTTTTTCACTCTTCACAAACCTATCTAACAGAACAATAGCACTCTCAGAGCCCTGTCACCATATAGAGAGAGACTGGTCCTCTGGGTAAAACAAAACAAATGGAGTAAAAGATAAAATACAGCAAGTCACTGGGGAAGTTTTCAGTGCATAACAAAACAGAGACGTGTTTTGGGATATTTATGCATTTCCACAAGTCTAATGTTAATAGTGAAAAGTATATATGCTCACTCTCCCACTTAATCTCTCACCTCACTGGCTGAGTTCATAAGGTACTTCTTGCTGAGCGTCATGTTGAGTGTGTTGTTGTGACTCAGCATGGGTGATTTCATAAATACAAAGTCACTTCGGCTAGATATAGTGGAGTAGCAGGGCCTATAGGTCCGTGTATGTGGCTCTTGGGGACCTCCCACAACCTCCATATATCGTATGGGTCCATCAGTATTGAGCTGCAGGTGGAGGTCCTTGCTAGGCCTCTGATGGTAGCGGCTGGACCTGTGGTGACCATAGCAGCAGCATTCAGAGCCTCCCAGCCCTGGGCCACGGTGTCTCAGGCAGCGCACCATGAGAACAACAAATGTGATAAAGGCCACCGCTGACACACAGGCTAGAGAGATGATAAGGTACAAAGTGATATCTGGCATCCCATTGCGTTGGTAGAAAGGTATGTGGTGAGGAATAATCGGAGCATCGTTGGCTGGTGCCTTCTCATCCACAGTTATTGTAACGTTCACAGAAGTGGACTTGGGTGGGTCGCCATTATCCTGAATCATGACCACAATGTCATAAGTTGAACCACTTTCCTCCTCGTCCCACTTTCGAGCTGTGCGGAGGTCCCCAGTGTGTGCCCCAATACGGAACATACCAGCATTTGGTCCAGGAGCAATTGAGTAAAACAACCAAGCATTGTGCCCACTGTCTGCATCCACTGCGACCAGTTTATTTATAAGGTGCCCTGGACTGGCAGATGGGGCCACAGTGAACTCTAATCTTTTGTCTTTTGAGTAGGAGGGGTGTACAATCACTGGTGCATTGTCATTCACATCCACAACAAACACGTGCACAGTGACGTTGGATGTCCGTGGGGGCACTCCAGCATCCTCAGCCTGCACCTCAATACGGAAAGCTTTAAGCTGTTCATGATCCAGAGAGCGCATGCTGTAAATGTGACCGCTCTTCGGGTTGATGTAGACATAAGAAGATATGGGTGAGCCCTGCACCATGCTTGTAAGGATTGAATAAGAGACATGTGCATTTTCACCAAGGTCTGGGTCAGTGGCAGAAACGACAGCGATGGGAGAACTGGGAGCGTTGTTTTCTGAGATGTCCACAGAGTATGAAGGCTGAGAGAAAGTGGGGGCATTGTCATTTACATCAGACACCTTCACCACAAAGTTGATTTGTGATGAAAGGGGAGGGGAACCAGCATCAGTGGCCTTGATGATAACTGAGTACTCTGGGACAGTCTCACGGTCCAGGTTGCCAGCTGTGACCAGGCGGTAACTCATGTCAAAAGTTGACATGAGTTTGAATGGTAAACCTGCCGTGATAGTCAGCTTAACATTTCCATTCAGACCAGGGTCTGGGTCCCGTGTGTTTATGAACGCTATAGCGGTCCCCGGTGCTGAGTCCTCTCTGATAGACTCAGTCAGTGACACCAGTTTCACCTCTGGTGCGTTGTCATTCACGTCAGTGATGGTCACAATGACGTTACAGGAGCCCTCCATAGCGGGAGAGCCACCATCTCTGGCCTGCACTGTTATGTGATATGCATTCATCTCCTCATAATCCACAACACCCTTTACACGGATTTCCCCGCTTTTAGAATCCACAGTGAATAGATTGAGAACGTGCTGTGGTGTGTATTTACTAAAAAGATACGATATGTCCCCGTTGCTACCCGAATCGGCGTCTGTGGCGTTTACTTTCGTTACTAAAGTGCCCAGTGCAGCATTTTCTAATAATGTAACTTTCTTTACAGGTTCGTCAAAGACGGGCGCATTGTCATTTACATCCAGAATGTCAATGAGCAGAAGTGTTGAGCCAGATTTCTCTGGCTGACCCCCATCCACAGCAGTGAGCAGCAGGCGAAACGAGGCCTGCCTCTCTCTGTCCAAAGCTTTATCCACCACTAGCTCTGGAAACTTGCGGCCGTCACTTTTAGTTTCCACATTCAAAGTAAAGAAGTCATTTGATGCGAGATGATACGTGCGTAACGAGTTGGTACCCACGTCAGGGTCGTGCGCGCTCTCCAAACGAAATTGTGTGCCAGGTGCGGCTGCCTCAGAAATCTCCAAAGAAATGTTAGTGGTTGAAAACTGCGGCGCATTGTCATTCACATCCAGAACGTTCACCACGACGCGATGGATCTCTAAAGGATCATCCATAAGTATTTGAAGGTGTAGTGAACACGCTGAACTTAAATCGCACAGATTCTCTCTGTCAATTTTTTGTTTAATAATCAAATCGCCAGTCGTCTGCTTCACCTCAAAGTACTGCACTGATGATTCGGAGACCACCCGCAGCCTCCTCTGAAAAATCCGCTGAGCAGTGAGAGTCAAGTCTTTAGCGATATTCCCCACGACAGAGCCTGGATTTAGTTCCTCCGATACGGAATAGCTGAGCTGAGCGGACGCACAGGAGACCCATGCTAGATAAAAGTAAACCCTCCACAGCCTCCCTCCTCCCGAGTACTTTGTCTGCGCGGAGTCCATTGTACTGCGCTCCGAGGATCAGGGAACGGCAACGTTTCTAACTTCTTTCACTGTAGCGTATCCATGATAGAATTAAAACGCGACGTCCACACTCCTAAACATTTCCATTTTAGAAAAAGGGCGATGGGATGTTTTGATGTGACCATGACGGCCGTCTTTAAAGAAAAAAAAAGAAAAAATAAACGAGAGCGAAAACTCAAAGTTTTTTTCTGCCTCCACTCTCTGCTTGTGTCTCCTCCGCCTGATTCCCCTCATGGGCGGAGAGAGGCAACTCAGGCCTTCCCTCTCATTGGAAGACAGGGTTGGATCAGTGTTGTCATCTCTCT